AGGGAAAGAACGCGGATAAGGTTTAATAAGTAATCCGAGAGTTAATAAAAAATGGTAGATGGGAGGGAGACAGGCACAAAAATATGAATATCGCAAAGGGTAAAAGCGGAGAACGGGCGGAAAGAGTAGAATCAGAACGAGATGCTTCTAAGGAAATACAGTGGGTGTCATTTGATATATTTTTCCATTATTAAGGACATTAAGCCGGCGGCCCGCGGGCCAACTCTCTTCTTTCCGTTTTCTTCTTCCTCTTTCCATTTCTCTTTGCGGGCCCCGACGCAACCGCGACTTCTTTCTTTCTCTCTTCCTCTTTTTTTCCCGCGGTTGGCGACGGTAATAAATCAGAAAAAAAGATTCAAACCGCCAGTATGGTCGGGCGTCGGGACGCAATTTTCCGTCTGCCAGGAGATAAAAATTTGATTAATGATCGCGTAGTTTTGAAATTTAAGAAAGGCACGGAATCCTCGCCGAACTCTGACGAAAAATTCCCACTGAGAATAATAATCGACATTGTTCGTATCGATGCTGTCAAAATCTTATGATTGTTTTATTACTTTCGAGAACCAATAAAAAATAATAGCTGTTCTACAGTTTTTTATAATTTAATTTATGATAATGCATTTGAAATTAAAGAATCATCGAAACATTCACAATGTATACGTTTTATTCCTATGAATCACTATGCAATCTAAACGTGAATACACGAGTGAAAAAACACGATAATTATCTATATACAAAGTATTCTTGCGACATTAATCGAGTCTTGCAGGATCGCAGCTTTGTTTGTACTCTCTAAGTTTGTTTCTATTATTGATTTCACAAATCTTTCTATACTTCTCAACAATAACATACATATTGACAATTCGTGCGATCAGCTGAGAGGGTAATGACCCAAAATTCATCGGATTTAAACGACTTTTGCTTAAAGTATTTTCGTGAACAGCAGTCCTTGATTCGTTAAAAAACAATAATCATTATATCTCTCTCGACATTAAACTTAGTGTAAATAAAGCACTGATTTGATATACACATCAGAAATAAAATTATTTAATCATAAAAATATTTGAAAATTTCAAATTTCTAAAATCTCATAAACACAAAGGTAAAGAGTCGTTTAATCGGCGAAATGTCTTATATTCGATGTTTAAAGAAAAATCTCGACGGGACACTTGAGACAGTCGTTAAAAATTCGCGACGCGACTTTGCCTCGGCATCAAACCGTTTTTTCACGAACCCTTCTGTCCCGGTTAATCATCGTGAAAGTCCGTTTACGAGGGGCAAGGAATTCGAAAGGGAAAACCCATGTTAGCAAGCAAATTACACCTTAAAAATATCGAACATAAGCTGATTGAGATTACACAATCTGCATATACAAAAATATATACTAGAATAATAGATACAACTCTATTTTTACATAAATTAAAGAAATTATATTAATGTGTATTTATCTCTAATATATATTTAATATATTATTTTTAATTTACATTTTTAACATTACTTTTCTTCATATAAATTAAAATAGATATTAATACGTATATTATCTTTACCATATATTCAATTGATTTTGTTATAATATATTCAATGTATTATTTCCGTAGATGTCAATAATTTTTTAATATCTCTCATATATTACAAAATCGACGCAAACGCGTCCCAATGCTCGTATCAGCGTACCTAGTAGTACATCGATTAAACGAACGCCTCAGCGTTCACATTCCCCCTCTTCCCCTTGAGTACCGCAAAACAGGAGCAATTTCATTCAAATCGGTGACGAACAACAGCCGGCCGACCGTGTCCGGGCGAAGGTAGAAAAAGGCAAGGAAAAAGGCGCGGAATAAAATCGCGTCGGGCAGCCTCTCCCTCTCCCACGAGGATTAAAGAGTCCAGGGATGCCCAGCGAGCTCCGAGATCTCTCCTCGTCACTCCGTCAAGTATCCACAGTTACATCGAACAGTGAACGAGGAGAAAGGGTTGAACTCACGGAAACTTGAGAACCCCCGGTGACAATTTCAATTCTCTCTTCGCCCTGCCCGGCCTCTTCCCCTCTCGCTCTCATGAAGCCTGGTGCTCTCTTCTCGTCGCGAAAGGGGTGACCTAAGATTCTTAAAACTTCTCACGAGATTTTTCGATTTTAATTACAGTTTTAACATATTTTAATAAAATCCTCCACCGTCTTCGCGAGTCCATCCGTCCATCTTTGCCTTTCTTTCTCCTCGCTACCTTCTTTAATTCCACCAAGTTTTCGGCCCTTCTACTACCTCATACCTAAACGAATCCTACTCGTCCGACTACTCTTGCTGCGGACTGTACGGCCTTAACGTTAACCCTTTCGTTCGTTCACCTACACCCACACCCGCAATACTGGCGCAACACCTGTTCCCGAACGAGGAGAACCCAAAATTGAACGTTCCTGCGCCGACTACGCAGCCCGATCTGCCGTTCTATCAGTTTCGGTTCTTCCTTACCACGCTCAGGAAGACTCAGAGTAGTGATTGAATCGTTCTCGTATGTACCGTCGCGTGATTCTTCATATTTGCGAATTTTTCAAATTCTTTTCTCAAGATTCTCGCTGTCGAGATCGATGAAAGCAAAGCGGATAATAAACCGTAAGCATCTAAACAACGAAATAATCATCTACATAAAATTGACAGAATGTTTAAAAACACATAATGGATTGAATGTAAACGGACTACAAATGTACTAAACTATATATTGCAGAGATCGTAAAATTACATGTTCAATCGTGTTGCGTTCATGTAAAACACATGCGCGCGCGCTATAACGATAAATCTAAATCAGGCTGAGAAGGAGCTAGGTTACAAATTTCGTCGAGTTCCAAGTTCTCACGGTGGTTTCAGAATTGGAGCTTATATAGTATCGGTCAGTAGGTCAAGTTGCACCGCACCTTCGTTCCGCGATTATAAACGTTGGCTCTCGGTCTTGCAGTACCATGACCTTGGTAACTTCTAATCGCCAAGTTCAACTACCACTACAACTCGGATTAGACGATATATAACACCGTAATACAATATTTCGCGCGTCTCCTCGATGTTATAATTTCGCCTTAATATATCTATAAAAATTACCGCAAACAAAGAGATACGAGGATCAATCGAACCGCACATGTTAAAATCTGTGCCGAAACTGTAAAAAAGAATAATATCTTAGAACATTTTTACTGTTAACAAGAATTGCAAAAGTATGTGTGTGTTTCTTCCCTACTGTTTTTATTTAAAATATAAATGACATTAAATACATTGTTTAATCTATAGAGTCAAATTTAATCTAATTTAAATCGCCACTGCTTCTACTCAATAAATCGTATTTTTTTATTAAAACAATGGATAAATTTGACACTATAGATTACATACAGTGTCAAATTAACACTACAAGGTGTCAAATTTATCCATTGTTTTAAAAAATAACAATATATTGAATAGAAGCAATGGCAACTAAAATTAGATTAAATTTGACACTATAGATTTAACAGTATATTATTTCATTGAACTTATTGTCATTTAAATGATTTTTCTATATAAAAATTGATTTTTTTATGATATAATATTCTTTATATTTATTATGAGATTTCCTCGTCTCTCGTTTACTTTTCAATAATAAATATTTTTAAAAGTTAAATATTCAAATCTTTTACAAAACGATCAATATCCGAGGAGGCGAGGTAACCTCTTCAGTTTCGGCAATGCGAAAACGATGGCGATCGACTACGAAATGTGCGGCGGTCAGGGTCGATCTGCCATCCTCCGTTGCTCGGTGAAAAGTACAGCGTACCAACTAACCCCGGCAGTTCTTCTCGCAGATCTTCATGCACAAGAGCGCGATGCAGATGCACGCGAGGGAGCTGGGCGCGGGTGCACTGACGGCGAGGCCCGGCGGCGGCGTCGCCGGTGGTCTGGCCGGTTTGGGTGTCGGTGTCGGCGTCGGCGTCGGACCAGGCGGCATGATCACCAGCAACGAAGTTAAGCCGCACCAGTGCCAGCAGTGCCTCAAGTCGTTCTCCAGCAATCACCAACTCGTGCAACACATCAGGGTCCACACTGGCGAGAAGCCGTACAAGTGCAGCTACTGCGATCGCAGGTTCAAGCAGCTCAGCCACGTGCAACAGCATACACGACTGCATACGGGTGAGTGGCTCCCTTGTTCATTTGTTGTTGTTAACGACATCGGGTCGGCACGTGAGCTTTTTCCTCGATTACGCCCGATTAAAGTTGACCGCCGCGTAATCGGCACCGCCCGTAAATTAATGTAGAATAATACGCGTTAAGCTCTGATACCCCACCACACCGCTGCCCAGGGCTCGTCGTCGTTATAGAACTCACGCCGAGTTATTGGTCAATAAATTAGTGCACGAATATATATTGCTGTTATAGTAAATTCTATGAATACTATATACCCGGCTATAGCCAATAATCAATAAATTAATATGCAGTTATTGTCTGTACGGGCAATCATGCGTCCCGATTGTGACTAACTTCAATGCGCGCCGGTGCGAAATTGCTTTGTGCATGCAACATGCGTGCAAGTAAAATATTCCTATGCTCTCATAGATACGGTCGAACGAACGAACGAACGCATCCTATCGCCCTGCGTACTTGCTCTTTCGCGCCCCGCGAGGCTTCCGATATTTGGATAACAATGCATCCGCGTAGGAAGCAGCATGCGACTAAAATAACATCGACCAGACCGGACCAGGCATGAAGGATTTGCAATAATGAGAAAACCTGATCTGCCTGCAAAGGCAATCCAATGGGTCGCGTCCGGGTAGAAAGAATTTCATTAAAGGATGAGCGTAGTCACTCGGAAGGTATTAGACTCGCAAGCGAACGCCGAACGGTCAGTGCGCGCCGCGCGCACGACTACTAGCCCCTTGGAAAAATCTCGTTGACCTTAACGAAGATTTGCTTTTGCAAGGCAATGGAAAAAAAAAACAAAGAACGAGGAAAAAACGTCCCGCGTCAGGTATTCAAGCTATTTAATCGAATCGTCCGAATCTGTGCGGAGCAAAAGAGAGATACGAAACCCTAGTAACAATCGACCCGAGAAAAGGCTTATTGACAAAGTAAACGGATCCTCAACGTTTCTTTGCCGGCGTAACGAATCGTTTGAATCGTTCTCTCAAATCTTCTTCGATGAATCAGGAAGAGAATCGTCTTGCGCGATGTAGCTCATAGAGTATTCGTGACTTCGCTTGAATCGAGCCTTCGTACATCGAACAGTTTATAAAAATAGACGTTGCGAATTTGACGAGAATATCCAGTATAACCTGATTTTCCGTGTTGGCGCTACTAATCTTTTTATTTATTTTCACGTCGCGCTGCTTCGCCCCAGCTTGTCGTTTCTTAACTGTAAATAGCAGCGAAAGAAAGACTCGCATTGATTTTAGCTGGCCCATCTCTCGACCTCTCGTCTTCTTGCTTCACATTCTCTCTCTCTCTCTCTCTCTCTCTCTCTCTCTCTCTCTCGCGCGCGCGCGCTCTCTCTGGATCTCTTTCTCTCGCCCTCTGTTGCAACTACCCACGTCCAAATAACTACTGCTCAGCCACCCCTTACATTAATAACCGCCCTTCTCCATATATCCCACCCTTCGTCATCGTCCTCCTTCGTAGGGTGGTGCTCGAGTTGGGCGTGTATGCACACGCGTAAAGGGTCGCTTTGAATTTCTACACTTCTACCGATAAAATGTTTTAAATGCACACCCGTATATGCAGCCCCCGATCTCGGTTGCACCGAGGGAGAGAGTGCAAACCTTGCAACGGTATCTCGTGACGAGCTGCGAACACTCGGAGCCAAGTTTAGCCACGAATCGAAATATTTCTATTTTCGAATGTCTTAAGGAGAAATGAATTGGGTGGTGTAAAATTTATAACCATACAACATGCAAACTCAACAAGCTTGTTGACTTCCTATAAATCATAAATGTTATTTCTTGCCAAATCAGCGCTCGATAATTTGTCTTAGTCATAATTAATTGCAATTTTACTATTTATTGCTATTCCAATCATTCTTATAGTAAAATATTTCCAAAATTAATGTAAATATAATATATAAAATTAATGAAATACAAAAATATAAAAAGTAGAAGCGTCAAATAAATCCATTGCAAGATACTTTATATATTGAACAAAAATCGCAATTTCAAAATTATATTCATTTAATTTTCTGTTAAGCTCTATCATTCTTGCAGCGCAAGATTACATCCTATGTATATATAGCTGTACAACTATATAAATAATATACAGGTATAAACAGGGGAAGCAATAATACGTTAGCACGTACTAATTAATATCGAAGTAATGCGAATGCAAAGCGGCATACTCGGAAACCGCGCGCATTTTTGCAACGGAACAATCCCGTTATAGCGTTTGCACCGCGTATTGATTTCTCATTTCGATGAAATTCTGGCGCGGCGGGGCACGCGGCGATTGGTCGTTCGTGTTCAAAAATCGGCGGGAATTCGCCGGCGTGCCGATGTGCCCCCTTCTTCCCTCACCGTTCCATCGCTCCGCAAATATGCACACGAGTTACATCGTTCGCGCGCATATATGCACGCATGTCTATATATTATACATATAATTCATTAACCGAAATTTACACGAGAACGCACGATCGGTAAAATCCATGGGGTGGGAGAGCAAAATGAAAGAACGGATACGATGGAGGGGAAGCAAGCGGCAACGGAGAATATAATATCGACGAGTGTCCACGATATCGATAGCTGGTCAATATCTGTAGCCTAGACAAATACCTGACGAGGGTGTGGAGTGTAAGGGAGAAAGAGAGAGAGAGAGAGAGAGAGAGAGAGAGAGAACGGGAATGAGGGTGAGCGAGTCCGTTCACCCCCTCTCGTACCAACGGCGCGCAAGGATGACCAAATGGCCAATGAGAGTCCGGTTCGCCCCACCGGGGTAGCCGCGTGCGAAAAAGCGCGGGAATTTTTCGATCGTCCGATCGCTCAATAATGGAACCGAAGTTACGTGCCGCCACCGTCGCAAGCGCACACGACCGCGCGAGCGCGTAAACGCGGTCGTATGTATATTCACCTACGTACGCATACATACACATACACGCATGCACGCATATATGCACATGTGCGTCCGTGAGTGTATGCGACGATCGAGATGCACCCTTAGAGAGAGAAAGAGAAATAGAGAGAGGTGAGAGAGAGAGAGAGAGAGAGAGAGAGAGAGAGAGAGAGAGAGAGAGAGAGAGAGCGAGCGAGAGTGGGCGAGGGAGGGGGAGCGGAGACAGATAGAGTTCGTATGTATAGCAGGCCAGAGGCTATACCAAAGATTATCCCTTCAGCAGCGAGCAAAACTCAATTTCCCGGCCAAAATCTAATGATCGACCGCCCTACGCGCCAGGAACTAATCGGTTTTCCCGGAGCCGCTAACTAGGTGCGTGTGTTGGCTGCGAAAATCGCCGCTCGAAAAGCGGCGCAGATAGAATAGCGTAGAACAATCTCAAAGGACTATACAGAATTGCGATTGTTATATGCTGCGAAAGCCCCTAATCTAGGCGTCCATTTGGTAACATCTATGACCTAATGATCCGTCTATGAGCATAATTCGCGCAATGAAAGACGCCGATGCGTAATAGCCACGTTACTGATAACACATCGGTATTCTCCCTCGAGCGACTACGTAACTATACCTACTCACATTGGATGTAATTTCTAAAGGGATTCTCGCGGAATGGAGCACGCGGTTTCACATCCATCGGAAGGATCACAAAATGCGTTGAAAAGGAAACTAACCCATCGAGAGGGTGTCGTCGCAACGATGATAGTGGTGCTTGAAAAAAGGAGCACGTTCTACCGAAGAAATTGACCGGACAATTTTAAAGCCCACTTAATACTGCGAAAAATTGCCGTTTCGTCGGCGCATGAATAAAAATTAAGGCTTCTGGCTCTCGACCTCCGTTTCCCATCATCTCTGCTTCTGCGCGCGGAACAGTTTGGGAACGAGCCTGCATATCCGTATTTACGAGGTGCCACGAGTAAAATGACGAGAAAAAGGACGAACGTTCCCAGATTCAGCCCTGAAAGTCTTCCTTTCGTCCGACTCTCACTTCCGCCAACCTCGCCTTCTCGGCCTTCTGGCGGCAGTAACTTGTTCCGAGTCCGCACGTTTTTCCGTCCTTCTCACACTTTTAATTCGCTAATTTCGCCGTTAAGAATTCATGCGGTGGAATGCCTCTCGGCGGACGTCTCGAGAAAAATCAAAGCGATGAGAAAGCGGCGCAAGGGGAGTTCCAGGGGTCGAGAGAGCACTGTGGAAAAGAGCGACGCCGGTGGTCCCTTTATCACAAATGGCGCAGAATGAAAGATTAAACAACGGCACGGCGACGCTTTGAGCACGAGAAATAAAAATTACGATTAGCGAGATGACGACAGAGGAAACGACAGATTACGAAACGAGCTTTTGCCCAAAAATATTCTTTTCCCAGCGGTCACATACCGCAGATTCGTGATAAAATTATCGATGAAATCTTTGCATTTCGACAATATTTTAAACCCGGAAGTTAATTAATTTTCGTTGATTAATATCGCAAGCTAATCAGCCGACCTATAGCCTCGCTATGAATGTTTTAACAGAACGAGCGTTAGTTCTAATATCAGCCCGCGTTCAACGCAGCATACTCGTAAATTACTCGTACGCCAGAATTCATGCATTCATGCAATTTTGCGAGCGATGTAACTGGCCCGTGTTTAGTAATTAACACACTCAACTTTAGCTTCGCCACCGCAGCAACTTAAAAAGACACAATTATCGATAGACACTGAAGTTTGTAACTTCACGATCTTTCTTCTTGCACAACTGGCTTCATAAAAATTTCATCACGTTGAGATACAACTAATATATTTACAAAATTATATATGAAGATATTCATCACAAAAAATATTATTTAAATAAATATTTACGTGATACTTCGTGATTTTTCACAATAAAAAAATCGCTCCGCTTTATGTTTCTTTTTTGTCGCGATTAAGGAGATCCTAAAGTCGTCTGTGATTATTTTTCAAATGAATTTTCAAATGAATTTTTTTAACTGCCTTCATATATACAGAGATTAAAAAATTTTTTCCACAATTAAACAATAATATATTATAATAAAGTTGACTTTA